TAAAGCTTCAAATTTGTGTAATTATTTACACATGATTTATTGCAAGAATGGGCTACATGATACCCTTGTAAAAGTATATAAAAAAAATTGAAATCAATTGTGAAAATCCATTCCTTATATAGGACGGTCTCTCCTGTTGAATAAAGGTGTACTATTACCCAACAAAAAGCAGAAATTTCTGAAGAAAAATAATATGCAATAAATTATTGATGACCATCATATCGCATTGCTTATCAATAAAAAAAGGTTGTTGAACTTTACATTCAAGAATATGTTTTATAAATCTTTGTTTTTCACTCATTGACATTGAAACAAGTTAAATAATTCCACCTTATGCTGGAACACTTATTCACAAGTAAAAAAATCTAATAATTAATCACGATTTTATTTTGGTTTAAAAACAAATAATCAATAAAATATTTACAATATTTTCAAAAACATACTATAGTAAACTTTTTTGCAGGTTGTTTATTGGAATTTTTCTTGATTTCTTACTTCAGTATAAAACTTACAACAATCAACCCTATATTATAAATCAAAAATTCATCAAAATAGAACCAAAAAAAAGACAATTTAATAAAACAAATAAACTTATTGGTGATAAAAACGTTCAAAAGAAATCAAAAATCTATGAAAGGATTTCAGGCAATTATTTGACAAAAAGACTGATTGAATCCCGATTTTTTGTAACAAGCAAACTTCCATAGTCATTTCATTAAACTTGGAGAAGGAAAAGATGTTGCTTCTACCATTAAAAATTTCTATCAATGAAAAACAAATCCCAGAATGAAAACAACAGAAGCAATTCATCAAAGAAAAAGATGAAAAAACAACAAAGATACAAATATTAGTGATACTATTATTATTTATTAACAATTTGACATAATTGTTCAAAAAACTTTGGGGGACCACAAGGTGATCTCATGTATGTTGATTGATATTTAACTGGTACATTATTTGAGATGACTTCTGCAACTTCAATTACACGATTCTTACAATCACAAAGAGAATTATTCTTAGTGGTTTGAGATGCACATATATTAAAGTTATAAACAAGCATCAGAATTATTTATTACATTAAACATAGCCTCCAAAATGGAAATCATACATGGAAGTTGTGATGGTTCTGTAGGAATAATTATATTTGATATCATAGTCATCATATATATTTCCATCAACTTTTAAACTCATTTCATATATTCAAATATGTGTGCCTAAGGGTACAACTAAGTTTTTGGTAAATGGTACAAAAAAAAACTCAAAGTCAATTCAATTTAAACATCTACCAGAAACCCATATTCCAAATGTTGTGATTCCATTATCATTGTCATTGTTTTCTAATTAATTCATCCAGAGCTCCAGCTTGAAAGTTTGTGAGTTTAAGAAAATCTTTGTTGATTAATAGTGATGAATTCTCATATTTTGGTGGTTTTACTTGACCAAAATAATTCCTTCATTGAATAAATCATAATTTTGAAATCAGGTTTTTCACCTATGGCATTTTCTTTATTTACGTTCCATCTTTTTTTTGATGAAATGCTCTCACTGTTTGCTCTATTAAGTAAAGCTTCATTGAATAATGTGATTATAACTTAAAATAATTGCACAGCAAATGATGCAAAAAGCCTCTCACCATATTAGTATTTCTTTTATAATGTCATGTAATACCAATCCATAAGGCTGTTTATATGATAGTGGTAATAGTTAATCCAAAACTCACTATTCTAGTTGAATTAAAAAGATATTTATTAATGGAATTATAATGCAGATCACCAAAAAATTACAACCCTCCCTATTGGCGTGATTAAGGGTTGGGAGAATCACGTGTTAATTTAATAGTAAACCATGGCTCAATTTTTTTTACCTGCCGGGTACAATGTTGATCAATATTTTTATGAAATATTAATATACATTAAAATTTCCTATAATGAAAAATTAAAAAAAAAATTTATATATATATATATTTATTTATTTATAAATAATAATCCCAAGAATGAGAATATCATTTCTTCAGCACCCTCAGCAATATCTATAATTTTGGAATTTGTCAGCCAAAATCCTGCACCTGATTTTTGCATTGTAACTACTTCTATTATTTTAGTTATCAAATCGTCAAGTAAGTGAAATGCCTGTTTCGAATTTCTAATTATTCTATTACTATTGAAATATTCCTCATAAATTTTAAGTTTGTTCAATTTCCTGTTAATTATTTTTTTATTTTTCAATTGTAGAAAAATTCCAATTATATCATCTCTTACAATGTCATTATCTTCTAATTCTTCAAATAACTTTCTTGTGATTTCAATTATTTTAATTGCATCTGTAGTTACATTGATTAAATCTGGGTTGTCTGCAGCTTTACACTGACAGTTATTACAATTAAAGTTACAGCATCAGTTGACCATGCATAAAAGTTAAGTAATGATTGTTGCAAGCATTTATATTTTTCTTCACAAAAAAACATTATTTCATGAAGGTTTTGTAAACTTTGTCTAAGATAAATTCTTCTTTGTGGGGTTTCATCCTCTCCAGCATCTTCTCTCAATTCAAAATGATTCCATATAATAATTTAAAGTCACTTCTTGAATATAAAATAATACATTTTGATTGTGAACCATCTCTACCAGCTCTCCCACTTTCTTGAATATATTGGCCAAGACTCAAAGGAATATTGAAATGAATTATAAGGTATACATCTGAAGTATTTATGCCCATGCCAAAAGCATTTGTTGCTATAATTATTTTAGTATTTCCAGTTTTCCATTTCATTAATGACACATGTTTTTCTTTTCCAGATAAATTACCACGGTAAAGGCCAACCTCACAATTTGTAATTTCACTAATTATATAAATTTTGAGATCTTCACAAATACATCTTCCAGCAGGATTTTCGTTGATTTCCTCAACAACTTGACCATAACTAGCATCTTTTTTTGATTTTTTCTTTTCTTGGACTTCCAAAAAATTGTGAGGATGTGCAAATGATGATGATCTAATTATGGTAAGATCATTCCATTCTATCTTCATCTTTTCACACAAAATATGTGCATCTTTTTCAGACATTGTTGCACTAACCATCATTATTGAAGAGTTTTGAAAATCTCTTTTTAGAGTCTCTGCAACACCATTCCAAGCATTTCGAAAATATTGGTGTTCTAATACACAGTGAGCTTCATCAATAACAAATTGAACTCTTGAAGTTATTGATAATTTTTTCAGCATATTTCAAAAACTTATATTGGCTATAAATTTTTCTGGTGTCAAATAAACAATTTGTACCAATTTTGAAGCAATTTCACTAAATACTTGCTCTTGGTATGATGGTGGTTTATCTGAAGCTGCATATAATACTGAAGAAGGTATTCCAGAATGGGTCAACTCCGTTACTTGATCTTCAATTAATGCTTTTAGAGGACTAAGAACAATGGTAATACCATTTATGAGCAAAGATCCAATTGAATAGCACAAACTCTTTCCTTTTCCAGTTGGAAATAATACTAAGGTATCTTTATTATTTACAAAACTTTCTATAGCCTCCTGTTGACCCTCATGAAAGTTTGGATGTCCAAAAATAATCTGTAAAGTCAAAAGAGAAGGTGATGTTGGTGTTGATGATTTGGAAGGAGATTTGGTAATTATGAAATTTTTATTGAAAATTTTATCATTTTTTCGTTGTAAAAAAAGAAGTAACAAATTTTGCACAATCCATTAGCATTATATTTGGGAAAAGAATAACAATTCTGGCATTTGATCAAAGATTTAAAATTGTAAATATATTCATGAAATGATGGAAGAAATTCCTTATTATTTAATTTTTCTTGCAGCCTAAGGCCATATGGAATCAAATCTTGATCAAAATATATCATGTTTAGTTGATTTAATTGATCATGTTTTTTTGCATTCCTTACATTTATATTTTTTGTATTTTCTTCTCTCTTCAAATCACGTTGCTCACAAATTTTTTCCAATTTCATCTAATGAATTACGTAATTGAATCCATGTTTGTTGTTCACCAAGATTGTTATGTAAAAGAGCCATAGCATGTCTGGATGCAAATGATTTTGAATAGTCAATTTTCTTATCAAGATAACATAATTTAGAATTAGTTTTGGCAAGAATGTTTTATCTCAATGTCAAAAGTTTGCAAGTTATTTTCAAGGTTCTTATAAAGCAGGTGTACAACTTTATAATGAAATAGTTAAAGCATTCATTATGGGTGGAGGTCTTAAATCATCAGTGGTAACAAGATGGAGCAGTGCATAGGATTGCTGTAATTCTGTATTACAACTTGAAAATATTTTTAGAAATATTATTGAAAAAGATCCAATGTTGAATGTCTTACAAATGTATTATCACCTGCAAAAAAGGCTATCAAATGCATAGAATCTACAAACTCCACTTTGGCAGATATTTTTTAATCCTCATTCAAATGGCTGCTACAATAAAACAGTTGCCAATAAGTTACTCTACAGAACATAAAGGTTTTCAAAGACAATGTATTCAAATATATAACAAATGATGGATATAGTTTGATGTTAAAATTTATTTACTTTGTTATTTTTTGCACACAAAGTATCATAGCAATGGGATGGCTCCTGTAGTTTTTCATTCAGTGATACATACAGCATTAGAAGTATGGAAAAATTTAGGAGGTGGAGATAAAAGTGCACAAGTCTTAATCACACAAATAAAAAATTATGATTCTTTCACTTTCCTAAAGTATGTTTGAAGCACATGCTAAAGAAAATTGCTTATTTAATCATCTTTAATAAATTATGACATGATCAAAGAACAAATTTGAATATAATGCCATCAATATGTTTTTTTCTACACTAAATGGAAATATATCGCAAGATACAGTTGAACCCATTTACGAAATTATAACTTTTATTTGCATGAACTATTTGGGTCATTTTTCATTTTGCACAACGCATACAATATAAACTTGCGAACACTTTTTTAGTGCAAAAGCTGCCGCATTTGTCAACCTAAATGGTGTTAAAATCTATACACAACATTTAAGAGTTTAACCCTAAGGGCGTAAAGCATAAACAAAATTTCAAGCAATTAATGGAAACGCACCTTGCCAATTATAAGGTAACTAGTAATATGGGCAATAAATGTCACCCATCTTTTTTATTAAAACTCTCTTTTTAATACACTTTTGTCCACGGCATCCGACATTTATCCGTGGTCCAGTAGTGTCAAACGCCACTACTTTAACATAATTAAAACCAACCTATTCTTCTTAGACTCATCACAACTGAACTAACAACGCAAAAAGTGGGC